TCAAAAATTGGACTTGGTCTTATTCTTCGCAGAGATCTTCTTGTGAGGTGAGATCTGGAAGATAGACCTGCCTTCTCCAAGTTCGGCAAGATTGTTGCTTATGTCAAATGTCATTATGCACGTATGTTTATCAAGAAATATTGAAAATCATTCCTCCTGAAGTTTCCATAAGAATGTTTATAGGGTATTCAAGGAATTGACCCATCCCATCTTAATTTTCACACCAATTTAAAATTCCCATAGACTATTTATTACTCAGCGATTTTTGTCACAAAATTCTGCAAATTAGATTATTTTTTCATGTAACGGCTTATCAAAATAGGTGCAGTGATTGAAAAAGTGGACCGATCCGAACCATTTTCAATAGCGTTCATACATGGGCGGAGTTTCATCTCCAATATTGTGACTTGTAAGTTGAATACAAAAATAATATATAGGCAGGAAGCCGACGGACAGATGGACAGACAGTGATTATTACTCATTTCAGAGATGTATTTTTTCTATTTTAATTGATTTTATTCGTTAGTTAAAAAGCAAGAATACCTACAAAGAAACTTAAAAGATACGTAACCGACTATCGAGTTATGATATTATTGCGTAAAATAATCCCTTTTTTTTGCATTTATTGCTAATGCAAATTAGCAATATAATCTTACATTCATCCGGAGGGTGAAGTATAAAATATTTTTTAACTATTCGTCTCACTTCTTGTCTGCGGATTTTGTGGAAGCAAACTTATTCCCCGTTTTATACATTACTCCCCTGATATGCTTTCAATATTGCTTAGCTGATTTTTGTAGCATAAATTTATAAAATAAGGGACAACGTCGGAAGAGCATTAATTTTAAAGTTAAATTTTGGGCGGATGTATGAAACACCCAGAAGACCTCGACATAATCCTGTCGTTTATTATACCGGCCGATATAGAATCGCTTTATGAATCGATCTAAGCTTCTCTGTCCGTCGGTCTGTCTGCCTGCGGCATAGGCTATTTAATGCTGAGTTTACCAGTTTGCCACCAGTTTAATGTTTTTACTTTTTTATTTCTCTCCGAAAGCGAATCTTTTATGTTACATTATTTTTTAGCTTACAATTTAATTAAATTAGTTTTTTTAATGTTTTTATGACTCAGTTGCTATTTTTGCACTTTATCAAATGCGCTCTTACCCTTATTTTATGTTCAATAAGTAAATGACTAAAGCAGAAAAATATTTTTAATAATTTAGACGCTTTTGTACTGACGCTTTGCACTGTAAAGCGCGGCATTCCCTCTTTTTTTCATATGTTTTAGTTTCTAGTGCTCAAGCATGCTCGACGAGCACTGTTTTCTTTATCGGGAGTTCTAGATAGTCCCCATTTTCATAATTCGTTTTTATGTTATGATATCGACGTTTGCATAAACTAATAAACAGAGCGGCCCAACACTTGTCAATCAACGAGTGTTAAAATCTAAGAGAACTCGATATTTGAATCAATGTTTTTACTATTTTTCGCTTTCTTTTTAACGCAGCGATATCTATATTATCGAGTTATGCTGTTCACTATATATATTCCGTATGATTAATCAATAAATACTAATCCCTTGCGGCAAATGAAAACTAATTTAGTAAACAGCGAAACTCCTGCCTCGCTTGCTCACAAGCAGCAATTGCTTTCCCCTTGAGTCGGTAAACTGTCAATCAGACGAGCTATTCATAAAAAGACTTCGGATTATCTATTCCCTGCCATTCACTTTTTTCTTACCGAATAGCAGTAGTGTTGTAGTAGTGTAACTGTTGTGAGCTTTGGCAATATTTGTCCGCGAGCGCCGCAACCTCATATCCGTGAACTACTCCTGAAATATTGCGGGCGGGTTAATTCCCCAGCAATGATAATTGATTAAAATAATTCCGAGTCTGCCTAGGATGTATTTTTTTGCTTGCAATAAAATTTTTTATTAAAGGATTGAGGGAACGCGTTCACATATTTAAATACAAGGCAACGCAAAATGCGATATTTCTTAACACTATATGGGTATTGAAAATTGCCAAGTTTAAGTTCGTATCGCTTGGTTGCTGTTGCAAGCGTGCATATGTGCGTTAATATATTTCATACATCCGGCTGCTACGGTATGTATCATTGATGGACGTAAAACATTGCAAACGTTAGTTAGTGTTATTTTTGCCGAATGGCATATATTCAACCATTTCTTTAGTTTCCTGTTCTTTGTTCTTTTTTTTCTTTTTTTTTTTTTTTTTAATTTGTGTCTGAACACATTACACATATCATACGCCTTTCCACTATTGATGGTATCATAGGACGTTGTTGTTCGCATATATTATGTATGTATTTGTGAGGCTTTTATATTTATGTATGCATGTAGATATATTTGATATTATTATTGTTGTTGTTGTTGCTTTTTTCTTGGCGTTTATTGTATTGAATTCCCAAAGAAATTTTAAACGAATTCAGCAAAATATACTGACACGTGAACAAACAGATTCTTCACATACACCCACAGCGCTGCCCTGGTCCGCGGTTGTTATTTTACTCTTGATGTTGAAACTATTTTCAATTATATTACAAATACACTTTAAACAAATAAAGAATGCGGTTACTGTAAATATGAACAGTTTGCTTGATTGTACGCGGCCAATTCGTTCATACGCGTACATATACCCATGCACGCACCCATCTCCCACCATACATATATTGAGCAAAGAAACGAAGCAAAATAAAAGCACTTCAATTTCCAACACACTTGCAATATATCAATTTTGTAGTGCAGTACTGTTTACGAGCAAATTGAAAACACGCTTGCGCTTTCATTCAAACAAAAATATTGAATATTTGGTCAGTATGCGTTTTCGAACAGAATTTGATAATAATGAATAAATTTCATTTCTGCCTTTTATAATATAAATAAAAAAATGTTTGCATGAACCTTGAAATTGTTCAAATTTCTTTTACCTTTAATGTTAACGGCGTTTGTTCTAACGTAACAAAGAGTTGGTAGGCGCTTAAACTTACAATTAAAGACACGCATACGAAATAAAGTTGACGCACGCTTCTCATTTAATCGATACGCGGTTTGCTAATTGCACTTTGAATGCAACAAATGTTCGAACGCGAGCGACGAATAAAACTTTTTATTACATAATCTTTTATTATAATTCATTAGATTATTCTCCTAATGATAAATTTACAGATATTTCTCCACATTTACCTCGCCAATAAGAGTCCGCATTGCATGCAGTAAACCTAGCTCTAAACGTCAGTGATATCAATGCTGACATTGTAGAGAATTTCAAATATCTGATTACGCTTGACTCACATAAAAACTTCCTTAACTCTCGCCTTAATTGTTTGTATATAGAAAACTTTGCACCTTAAATGTCTAGGTGCATTAGAAGACTAGAAGCTTTGGCTGACCAGTTTTTTCTTTTGCTTGAGCACCGTCTCCGTCCAGTCTCCACGACAATGTCAAATTTGAGCAAACCTGGAATTGTTGCCACCGTTTTTAGGGGATATGAAATATATGTCACCATTATTTTCGAATCCATATAATATTTAGATAGGAACAATCTTCAAACATAATAAACTAAAATCTCGTGGTATTCCGATAATTAGTTGAAAAGTTCAAGCCGTTGTAGTGACGCTACTTTTGTTTTTGTAAAACAATGGGAAAATCGGAATATTGTGTGTATCGTCACCCAAATAATTGTCATATCTAAACTGAAGGTCATAAGATTTTGACAAATTGCTATTCGTTTTGTCGATCGGTACTATCCCAAAGTTATATGGACTCATCCAAAGCCAGTCTACATCTCTATGTCATCCTACGAATACGTCCTCCTTTGAAGAGATATAACCGCACCTCAGGCTACGTATTGTTTTTTCCAGGCTTTTCTTTTTTAGCTTCATTTTTATAATATTATACGTATGATTCAAACCTAAGGACCTAAGCAATTGTTTAGCATCTTCTGCTTTAACATGTCTCTGCGTAATGACCAATTGTTGCTTCCTCTAGTCGCGAATCGTTTGTTCCATTTGGCAGATGATACAATTCTTTTGGTTGACACCCCCGTCTCTTTCTCGGAAACAGAAGAAAATAATTTGTGCCCTAAAAATACTGATGAGAACCGAGATCGGCTTGAAAAATTAACGGGAATAGAGTCATGGTGAGTTACTCCAAGGGTTGTTAAATTAGATTTGCCAAGCGTAGGGTATGGCAATTCAATAATTATACACCATGGTTTCAGTGATGATCATTTTATACAATTCAAACTCACCGATGGGTAAATGGACCCGGATTGTGACCGAGTAGAAATGAAAGCCATGCCTATCCATGGCCCAAAGTTATCCACTATATACATTGTAATCTTAACATAAATTTCTATTAAAGAAAGGCTTTAAGATAACATACAATTAATAAATAACTAAATAAATAATTGCACCGACACTCATTTCGCGCTTCTCCATAGTCACCTAAATTGTTTCCCATATGAACAGGCATTGCAATTAAAAGGGGCTTCCCCGCATTTTCAATGTTATAAATATTCCTAATAGTCTTGAGAAATACGTAAAACCTTTCCTCTGTATAATGTGACTCGAGTTGTAAAAGTAGATGAACGTTTAAACGTAACCGAACGGGATGAGTATTGTGACCATAGTCTGAATATAAAGCAAAATAGATGATATGTAAGAAATTCGGGCTTCGAAGGAGGCAAGTGTGATCCTTTGCTAAGAAAACGACCAAATTTTGTATTTCTTTCTCATTTGTAAAAAAACGAAGCATAAATCCTTCACGCGGTTTCAGTAGACATACTTTACCTGCATTAGGTTAATATTTTTCGCGTAATCTTTAAGACTAACTTGACTTCTGATAGTTTTACCTTGCAGCTCCGGGAAGTAACGTACATTTTATATTTTCACGACTTCGAAGCGCATAATCTGAACTCACCTCGTTCTCACTTACAGTTCTTTTCGATTTTTCAGCAACGGATATTTTGGAAAAGAAAATTAAAATGCAAGTATGGCTATACACACTCCGTAACGTCTTATCGAAAGCCTTATAAATTGAATTTACATATCTGATATATCAGATGCCCAAGGAGAGGTGATTTCTCTGCTCTAACAACTGCGAATGATCCTTTTTGAAATTTCGTGGTGACTGTGAATACATATTATCGCGGAAGCATATTAGAATTTAGATAGGCTTCGCCATTCTCAGGAAATAGTAAATGGATCATTGTTAGGGTCTCATTTTAGTACTTCAAGAGTAGCGAGATCATCTAAAAGATACAAAGTATAGCTTTTTCTCGAAGGACCTTGTTGTCGGAGAATTAATTAATTAATTCATATCCAGGAGCCCAAGTTAAAACTGCTCTTACGATTAATTTATCCCGAAGCTTACCACATCGTCAGTAAAAACAAAAGTGCGCTACTTCCGTCTTTAGCTGGCTTTTAATTATTCCATTGGGTAAGGAATTAAATGAACGCAAAAAAAAAAAAAACTCTTTACCTTAGTAGTAATAATGGTGCTTAGTTTTATACCTTTACAGAGACTTAAGAACTTCTTACGTCATGCCAAATTTCATATTTAACCCATAAACAAATCCTTATAAGCATTTGTGAGTAAAAAAGGAACGAATTTGAAACTAATTTTAAAATTTTTCGATTTTCAAATTTAAGACTTTTATAGAAAGAAGCGCATAATTACCAACAAGAAACAAAAGTCCCGCCGTGGCTTCTTCGACTTTGTTTGTCATGGTAATCAAAAATGCTGTATGAATATTATATGCGTTTATAAATTTAATTAAGGGATTCGTCGATGACTACAAGTATTTCTGCGCATTACAGACATTCAGATAAGAAATTGTACCCTTTAGAGAAGGTGGTGCTGGCAGAATGGGTACACAGGCACTAAAGCACGAAGAAACAATTGCATGTTTCACGTGATCAACAGCAGAAACATTACCGCCATTACCCCGCGTACAAAGTATAGTATGTCTGCGGTGTGCACAATCAACAGTGTATGCCCGCATGCACACCATTGCATTAAAGCACGCACAAAAGTATAATCGATTTCGTACAATTTTTTATTTCGTTTTGTTGACAATCACGAATGCTTCATCATATCCATCAGATATTGCGTCGTACATGAGAAACTCTCGACTGGCTAGTATCTGCGACCAAGGGGTGGTTAGATGGTGGACGCGGCCAAACCATTTGATGTCCGTGTTTGGAATTTCAATAATGCTTTCGAAATTGCTCACGTCATCGTCTTCATCGTTCGATGATACCGGCGAGTAGTTGAGCGAGTGTTTTGGATTTAAATACCACAAAAAAATTGCATATTTTTTTAGGTTACAGGATGTGATGCAAGTTGAAGAGAAAGTTTTATTCTCAAGTAGTTTTTCGTATTGCTGCTGGTCTTGTTGATGTATTTGGTGTTGCAGTTCTTGCTCTAATGCCAAAGGTATGCAAGTTATAAAGAATTTCTCGATAAGATTTGTAGTCGTGACACCTTTGAAATTCAAGCAAATAATACTTTTATTACAATAATTACTCTTGTTGCAGTCGTTGCTATTGTCGCTATATGCTGGAGGTAACTGCATAGCTATACGTTGACCATATTCAGCATAATGATGACAAACGTGTATTAGGTGATCACGACCAAGATGCATTAAAATTTCCCATTCATCATTAAGACCGATACCTATATCGTCACCTATTCCCTCAGATGACAACGGCATCGATAACGATGACGGCAATGACGATGGCGATGATGATGATGTTGAACTGTTGGAATGATTTGTTGGTGTTGATTCTCTAGTTATTTGTTGTTGTTCTTTTGTCGTTTTTGTTGTTGTTGTTGTTGTTGTTGTGGTTGACAAGTGGTTATTAGTCATTTGATTGTGAGTTGCTAACCTAAACGAGTTGCGACGGCAAGTACCGGCAGTCGCACTCACATCCGTGGCCTTTGTGCACGATAGCACGTATTTCAAACAGCATAATTTCCCAGTGGGGCACCGATAATTTTGATATGCTTGCTCTGTTGTTGCTTTTATAATACTTGGATATATAAATTTATTCTGATCTGCTGCTGCTGTTTTTGTTGTTATTACGCCATTATTTACAGTTGGAACTTTATCTTGCTTACAACAGCGACAAAAATAAGAACAAGTTGACGCACAGAAACCTTGCTGACTATTTATATTTGTAACAATTGTTGATTGCTGTTTACGCTTTTCGTAAGGATGTTGGTGTTGAACCAGCAAATCGTCGCATTCTCTGTCCGTAATCTGATTCACCTGGGTTGTCAACGTTACTGTTGTAGTAGATATTGCTGTTGTGGGTATTAACGTATTACAAAATGATGATGATGACAGTTGTAATGATAACGACGACGACGATGATGATGATGATGATGATGATGATGATGTAGGTGATGTTGTTCTTGGAACTATTAGTTCATCTGCTGCATAATCCGGAGATGAGTTTCCATTGTTACTGACCGACTTTATCTTATCTTTAACAAAGTATACATTCTTGTCATGTATGGCCTCTAAACTGACTTTTGATTTTTGATCTCCCACAGCATCCTTCTGTTTCTCATTCTGTTTTTCTTTTTGTTGCCCATTCTTCTTCACCTGTGATACAAGTGAACTTTGTTCGAAAGTTTTTTTCATTTGATGGACTTCAGAACTTGTACATCTTGTTCGAAAACTTAAGCAAACTCCTGAAATGTCTGCATTTCTTAATTGTCTATGCTCTTGTTGTTCTTCTTGATTTTGTTCTTGCTCTTGCAATTGTTGTTGTTGTTGCTTCTGCTGTTGCCGTTGTTTTTCCTTATTTTTATCTTTAGCATCAAAATCTTGTTGCCGTCGTTGTTGCACTTTTTTTTTTCGTTGTACAATATCAACAGCCATCTTTGGATGATTATGTATTTCCGGCGAACATTTCCGTCTTTCTTTTGGCGAGTTTTTATTGCTGCGCACTGTTTGAGGTCATTACGGATAGTAAGATGAATATGGCGTTAGCGTTGGAGTTGTTACAAAGTTTAACATACCATGATGGAGTTAAGAAAAAGAAAATATTTTGTTAATAAATTAGCAGTAAATGCAGAGAAATATAAAAAAAAAAAACAAAAATGAAAACTTGGGCGAACATAAATGCAATGCTTTTCTCTGATGCATTCATTCATTCATTTATTCATTCTTTGTTCATATTATTAAGTAATTGCTTTCTTCTGAATGACTACTGAGCGTATGATTAATATTAATGTTATTCATTACTTAAAAGAGCGCAACGCGAATAAATAGAAAATTTTTGCGTTCTGCAGGTCTTTAAGTCGTCATCTATTCAACATTTTAAGTTTTTAAGTTTAGAAAAGCTAATGTTAAAGACTTTGAACGATTCCTTTAAATTATTGACTTTGAATTCAACCACGTAATAGTTGTAGTTTTTCTGGTAAGAAATTTTTTGTAGATATGGTACACAACTTAAGTATCCACCTAGTCGGGTGTGGCGAAGACCATTTAAATTATAGGGTTTCATGGGCTTCGGAGGAGGCTGGATTCAGAGCAAATATTAATCTGGCATTGGGAACAAATGCTTTGGAAAATCGTTGAAAATTTCAGTGAAAGTTTCGGTGTAGTTCAAGCTAGCGTACCGACCCTTCCGAGTTCTTCCAAAGAAAACTCCCGTACGGACAGACGTTACAAGAGCAACGCTGCATAAGCTTTTCGGGAAAGCATTCAAAGATCTTCGCTACGATATATGTAACCCGATATATGTATGTATTCTTGTTGTTGCATTAATGTCTATGTACGTTTATACGTCTGGCCTCAACTTTCTCTCTCAAGCTTAGATTTTTTGAGGAACCCGAAAAAACACACATGCAGGCAATGTAGGGGAGAAAAGATATGCAGTTATAGATCGAATTTTCTGAACATTACAATCTGAAGTTGGTTGTGAGAGAATTGTCATTTACTGCTTACTCTAGGGGTCATTGCAGTGAAATCGCGTTTCACCACAAGTCACAGGCGTATACAACTAACCAAAAAAGGTAAGGGGCATATTGTGAGAAATAAGCAAGGATAGCAAGGAAGCAATAAAGGATAAACAAAAATTATACTTCTAGCAGCCTCATAGGAATAGGCTCTATATATATATATATATATATATATAGGTGGCGTTTATAGTCAATCGTTTTACTTTACTCGTTTTTAAATTGTTTTCTTCGAACACTTAATTTCTTTATTTTTTCCTTTGAGGGGGATCAGTAAACAGTACTAAGTGGTAGTCGAAAAATTTGAATGATTCGAATCATATTTGACAGCGTTCCTCCGTTGACCAGTAGTGCACCAAATTTTATCCAAATATCTCAGAAATTGCGCCATTTAGGCCGAACCCAAAAACACATGAATACACATCGGACTAACAAAGCGATTGACAAAGCGATTAGTTCGACTCAGGAAGTGATTCTGAATAGAAAGTTCTTAAGCCCTTCTGAGTCTTGCATACGTTCGCATAAATTTAATTTGCTCTGCACCACAAGTAGTGTAGCGCATAAATATTTCAACATTATTTCACTAAAATTTATTTTTATTTTTTTCAATTTCGCTTATTACTTTCTATTTCTCTATATTTCGATATGTATTTTGCTTGATCTCAGTTGATTACACTAACAAATATACTTTAATTAAATTTGACAAGAGTAAAACAATTCAAAGAAAAGAGAGAAGTTTTACTGAAATTCAATTTTACTTTATGATAAGTATTTAAACGATTGAAAGGTGAATTTCCACGTACGTAAGAAAACTTGTAAAAAAATAATATAAATTCTTTCTCAAATTAAACTCGCCTGCCTCCTTGGCAATCAGTGTCAAAAATTCAACATTTTTACTCTTATTTTCTACTTAATTAAGCAGCTAGCCATACGTACACACATTCTTGCGATACATACGCACTCTTGTCGAATGGACGGCATTATTAATATTTCTGATTTTCACAATGCAAAACCATTTTTCAAAACCTTGCTTGCGCTCTTGTTATTTTCTTAAGTTTTCTCAGGGGAAGCATTAAAACAGATGTATGTGGTTAGAAGGATACGTCTCACGTCTATGCATGTTGTTATACTTGTCAAGAAATGAACAAGAAAAACAATATAAATAAGTCATTCTTCTTCTTAAACGAATCTTATATACCCTATATCATTAACTGAAAAAAAACAAACAAACACACGATGCAGAATATGAAAATAATTTCTTTCGATATCCGGCAGATCTCTTAGAATTCACTGAACAAATATTTATTAAAATAAAAAATAAAATTTAAATTGTAATGAAATAATAGTTGATTCGAATACTTTTCAACCATTTGTCAATATGACATATGGTCAATAGAATATTTTGCAATTTACTGAAACAAGATCTTAGTTTTCCCCGCATCCCAGCCATGACTTAATGGCTTTTGCTCAGGCTTAGCTGTATGCGTTGCCAAAGGGGATGTGAATAGACTAAACCGTTATATTCTGAGGTAGCGTGTATGAAAAATTATATAAAAAATTTTGAAGGCACAAATGTCAAAGTTTTTCACTTTGATTTCATTTTAAAGTAACGTATATTTTATTGAAACAATATGTTGCGGACTTTTTTTTTTGCTCATTTTTGTTTCTCTTTCTTTTTTTACGTCTCCAACTTTCTACATGATATGTATATACGCAAGAAAATCTTTTTTGCTGTCATTCATACGTTTCGTTTCTTTCTATGTATCATTTTATGACTTAATTATGTTACATAAATTACTAAAGTTTCATCGCTTCCATCGTTTTCCTTGTCGCTGCTCAAGTTGTGTAATATTTTCTTGCTCTGTTAGAGAGAATTTGCATTTTTTTTTCTCTTTTTTTTTGAAACGTAATTTTTTTAAGCTCTACAAGTTTGTGTGTTTGTATTGCGAGCTAATAATACTAAGTGTTGCCATCTTGAGATTAAATGTTTTTCTTTTTGCGTACTTTTTTTCGCTTCCCTTCTTATGGACCTTATGGAGAACAAGTAGCCGAACTATAGCGCATTGTTGGCAATCTTTAAAAGTTGTACCAAATAAATTCCTGCAAGATATCTGCATAAGACTTTAAGATATTTCGATTTTTATGCTTTTAGTTCGTAGAAATGCGACTTTTGCAGGAACTCGTTCGTCTTCTTTTCTTATTTGCCTGCCTCTGCAAAATCCTGTTGATTTCTTGATTGATGTCGACAGCAGGGGCTAAATATTAAAATGCTTTTGATATGTGTTTAAATTCAAAAACGAAATTCCTGACATTTTTTCTAAATGCATGCACTTATCAAGAAAATCAATTGCATGCTTGACGAAGTGTTTCGAAAATTCGACTGAAAGGGACTAGTTTTCCATTTGTGTTACTTTACGTTTTTTCTTTTTTTTTTTTTTTTCTTTACAATATTGTTGAACAACTTCCGGTATATGTGTATATATATATATATATATATATTAAATTGACTCTAGACTCACATACAATGCCAGATTTATTTGTAAATGTGTACAGAACATTATATTGCTTTATGGCCTTTTCTTTTCTTTCCTGCATTTCTTTCCATCGTTTCGCTATCTATGAAGTCATTTCATATAATAATGCTGTTGTAACAAGCAGGACAGGACAAAGGACAATTTCAAGCCGTAATAACAAAGTTCAAATTGTGTAAACATTTGCTTTACTTCCCTTACTTATTTTTTATTTATTTTGTTTTATTTTTTTTTCCACTTTTTTCTGTTATTGGTATCCAGTCCAGATTTCTACGCTAAACAATGGAAAGCATTCTTTCTTTAGTTATATAATCACTGCTCTGTAACCTAAACAACATCCATATGAAAAGCTAAAGAAAATGAAAAAAAACAAAGATAAGGCTCAGGAAAAAAAATATTATTAACAAAACTTGAAAAATGTCAATAGCAACGACTATGTTGTAAAAGAACACACACGCTTGCTGAAATATATAAACTTCAATATACTTTATTTAAAGCAGGAAAAGTTTCAAGTGCCCATTAACTCTCTACAACACCCTACATAATTATTCATATAATGACTTTCGAAAATAAGATATTATATGAAAAGTAACTAAGAAATTGGTCGTATCCGAACTTGGGTCAAGGTATGTCACATCTCATTAAAATATCTCAAAAATCACGGCCTGTAGGTTGAATACAAGAAACATGGAAGACGGATACGAGTAGCACGAGTAGCTGGGTAGATAAAAATCGCGATCGCGGGTGCAAATCGCAGCTACAATTAGCGCTTAGGTCGACGAAGACATCACACTAATCGATTGGTCGCGTATACACCATTTCTCTTTTTCTTTCTTTCCTAACTTCTTTCTGACCTAATCCCCATGGCGTAATAAGGGAATTTCCCCTTGGAATGATTGGTTATATAAAAAAAAAAAAAAAACACAAACCGGACAGAGGGACAAATAAGCTAAGATCGATTCAGCAAATGATTTTGCATCGATCGGCATAATAAGTGGAGGGTTCTTTCGAAATTCCTCTGCGTGTTATATAGCACGCGTCAACACAAGCGGCATAGGGCATCCGATAAAAAGAGAACAAGAAAAGTTTCGAGCTTCGTTGACAATGAGAACAATTAAATGCAAAATTTTGCTTTTGGAAAACTCTCCTGATGCGCTAGAAAATGTATATGATAATCAAACGTCAACATGTTATTGCACCCCAAAGAATTTCACTTGCTGTGATTTTTAAAAGCCTTGTATCGATATTGCAACATGTGGTTGTGTAAAATGGTTTGTTTGAAATACGCGCGTGAGAGAGACTGTTGATTTCACGCACAATCAACAGAAGCTAGTTTCGCCGGAAGGGAAATGACAGAAAGAGATAAAAAAGGTCTATTTCCGGCATTTTGGGTTTTTCGGTTCGGCTTTTGGTTTCGGACATGCAGACATAAAGCCACAAAAATTACGATAGACT